TTCCCCCCCCCCCCCCCCCCCCCCCCCCAGCCTGGATATCCCAAGTCACTTCAGCCTGTCCTCATAGCATGTGCACCCAGGCATTAGTTCATTTTTAATCTACCAATAAGGTATATGACTCATTTGCTTCTATTTGCCTCACTGTTTTTATCAACAACTCTATAGTCACAAAATAATTTCACAGGCTACCCTAATGAAGTGCCAAGGCCACCTGCCCCCAACAAAACAGCATTATCATTTTTACACCAAGTGAGTAGACTTTAACAGTCTGATTATTTTGATGAGGATGCTGATACATAGAACTAAATAGAGATATCTACTCACTTGATATGGGATACCCAATTAACTAGATATTTCTCAAAAGAGCAAGATTTCTGGGTCTCAGCCTGCAGGTGCTGAGGAAAACTCCAGTCTGCTTCTCAGAACACCCTGTCAGTATATCCATGGGCTCGGAGTCCATGCACTTTGTTAAGTCAAAAGAAATATGTTACACTAGATAATTAGGTGTTGCAAGCCCAATCCTCAGACACTAGAGAGATAGGTACTCCTCTTAGCAAAACAGCTAGGGAGGGATTTGAACATGACCACCAGGGAATGGCCCAGCATTTTTGGTAGCAAGGGCTGAAGGAAGGTGAGGTGGAAGATAATAGTATCTCCAGGGTCCATATACATGCAGAAGTAGGCTTCATGGCTGAGACGCCCATGAGTCCTGAGTCCCAGCAGATGCTATAATTTATCTAGTCAAGACTGTGACTGATAGGAAAATTATTATTTTTGTTGGTGCCATGGGGACCACAGAGCTCCCTGAAGGTTTAAATGTTTGCCATCAATTTTAGGGAAATATTTATGAAATTATCTGTTCAAATATTCTCATGACCTGTGGGTGGCATAGACCTTCTAGATACATTAGAGTTTGTTTATCGGTGAGATGTATATCCCATCTTTTGTACAGATCCTCAAGGCTGTGTACATAGCACTTCCTCCTCCAAATTTCCCCCATGAGAGGTAGGTTGGGCTCAGCAAGGGTGGCTAGCCAAAATAATCCAATGAACTTCCATGAGTGAGGGTTGACTAGAATCTGAGCATCCCTGGTGCCAATCCAACACCTTAACTACAAAACCATAGTGATGCTCAGCTAGAGTCTGGATTGGACAGGGGAATTTGTAGTTCAATGCTTGCTAATGCCATGCTTTCACTTAACAGCTTTCTGGTAAGCTTCCTTTCTTCCAACCTTCTTTGTAATAAAGGTCTGTAACTAACGCACCAAAATCAACAGCTGTGAGGATACCTGGTCCATAATATGTAAAATGCTTTGGATGCAATAGTTATATAGGTTAAGTATCATAATTCCTTCCATTCTGTATGTGAGCCAACCTCATTGAAATGGTAATGTCTCAAAGCCACTACTTATAGAAAATAACCTCTCTAGATCACAGGTAGACGACTCAGTGTCTTCCAGATACTTTGAATCAACTCCCATCAGCCCCCAATCACACTACAAATGGCAAGGGATTGTGGAAGCTGTATTCCAAAACATACGGAGGATAACAGATTGATTGTTCTAGATTACAATAAGGACATTGTTTGACACTTCCACACAGCTACCATTCTTGCCTCCAAACTCTCAGAATTGTGCTAATTCTGCCCCATAAGTGCCCTCATAGTCTAACTGCCGAGGATTTTCTCAAATTGGCCAGCATCCTCATTCTTTCTTCCCCAACTGGCCAGTGGCAGAGCACAGAACTGGCATTCCATCCTGTACTCTGCTCTCCGCCTTTATCGCCTTGTCCTGTTTGGTTTGCAATAAGGAAAAAAAACACATATGGTCACTATGCAGGACAACAACAGAGCTGCACCTTGGATAACTGGGAAGGATGGAAGGAGCAGAAGGACACAAAAGCACCTTGACACTTTGTTTTCTGAGGGAAGGGGAAGCCCAAATGCTCAGCACAGGGCAAATGGAGTTTCTTACCTTGGGGTAATCACCTTTCCTAGCTTTTCATCTGGAACAGCAGATGAGCTGATGAACTTCTGAGCTTAATTCAGTTTGCAAATATCTATGGAAACCCCCAGAGTTATCAAGGGGACACAGGGATGCTGCACTGATCCTGGATGGATGCAGCCCTTGTATATGGAATAGCCAAGGGGAGATAACTCTATTCCAACAAGCCATTTAGAACTTCTAGCTCTTCAGTTTCCATTACTTACTGTTGGAGTGGGAGCAACAGGATTTCTGTTCATGTAAACGTCACTGTGATGTTGCGTGCACCCTTCTTGGTTAGGTCCATGGGAAAGTGATATTCCATCAGGGCAGCACCCATACCTAGGCAATTGGGTGGGAGGGATAACATGTTCAAAGCAACCCAATATATCAGCTTTGCCTGCAAATTAGTCATTTAAAGAACTAGTCCTACCTGCTCAGATGACAAGAATCAAGTGGGCAACCTTGGCCAAAGGGACCTGCTGCAGCAGTGTGACCATCTGAACAGCAGCCATGAGGAGTATGGCTGCAGTCTTGAACATCACGACCACCATTTTGATAAGAATTCGAGTGACGGGACACGGAGGAGTCTGAGTAGGATTCCCAACGAAGAGGTAAGAAATTGGAACTATGACTCTCATTTGGCTGGAACCGGCGATGAGCAGAGCCAGCCTGGATTATTCTTTCTCGTGTAGAAACTGAAAAACATAGAAGAAAGGTGCAAAATCCTTTGTACCTTTCACTCTTTCTGTTCTTTCTTTTTTTAGTTTGTATTAGACTTTACTATTGTAATTAAAATTCTAGTGGTGAGGTAGTGGTGAGATCAATATCTACACACAAAACACACACACACACACACACACACACTGAAAAACATAATGCAATGTTATACAGCCTGTAGTTATGTTTAATTGGGACAAAGTCTTGCGAGGGATGTTGTGTCATAAGGTAGTGGTGAGATCTACACACAGGTTTCACTATGTTCTTTTACCTCAATATTACATTAACCTACCCTCAACCTACCCCATTCTTGCTTACCTGACATAGATCACCTGTACTTACAAGGCTTATCACTTGGTGTAGCACTCAGTCATAACATATGCAGAAAGTCTGAAAATAAGTAATCTACTACAATAATAATGCAGACTCTGGGAACTATGCATTCCCAAATCAGAATAATTACCTCTGCTATCAATTTTTGGAAATCAGGAGAAGTCTGGTAGCATCTTATCAGTCTAACAAATGTTATTAAAAGGCATACATTTTGGTGGCCACTCCGTGCATCTGATACAGTGAGCTGTAACACATGAAAACCTTTTAACAAACCTTTTTAATAAAAAGCCTTTTAATAAAATTTGTTAGTCTGATAAGGTGTTACCAGACTCCTGATTTTTGGCTACCGTAGATTAACATGGCTCTCCTCCTACACTATCAACTCCTGGAAAAAAATTGGGTCTATCAGTTTGACAGTGAAACAAAACTACCCTACTTAAAACAATGATTTTTGTTTTAAAGTCATAAGGATGCATAGCTGAGGATCCTTAGTTGTTCATACATTTAACCTGAAACGAAACCGCGGGACATGGCAATGGCCCAAAGACCTAGCTAGCACCTCGAAGGCAAGATTCTATTGAGCACTGAATGAAACTCCCTGCTTCATTCGCAGAACTTAGGGAGGGGACAGAAGATCACGCCTTTCAACTGTATCCTCTTACATTTTCTCATCATTTTCCCCCTTCACACAGATAACATATTTTAAGAGCAAAAATGAGAATAAGCACACAAATGTTTGATGGATGAACTGGTTCCCTGGAAGCATCTGGTTTCTCACTACTTTCTAGGAATTGAGGAAGATTACTTTGCAGCTGTACAGTGCTACAGTTATTAGACAGAGGTAAAATGATAACGGGAGAGCAGGAGGAATCACTGTCTTGAAGGGAGGATTAGAGTGATTAGAGTCAAGAGAAATAAAGATGCATGCTGTTAATTTTTCATACTTACATACTTTCCTGCCCATAATATGGATGGAAAAGTTAATAGGCATGGGGAAAGGAGAGATTTAGTTCCATTTTACAATACTATACAGTAAGTTCCAGCATATGATTCCAAATCTGAACACACTAGGGAATATTGGGGGGGAAGGAGAAAGAAAAAGTTTTTTTTTTCCTCCTTTTTTTCACCTGAAACTCCTCTTCCTTCCTTTTCTGAAAATCAGAAGAAATATTGCAGGATTCTTATTCCAAGCTCGCTGGACCCTTGAAATGGACATTTATACTAGGGGTAAGGGGCATATAACAACATATTGTGGACAGTCTTTATTTGAATTATGTCCAGTACATACTGGATATAGAATGAATACAGATTCTTTTCTTGCGTTATACTCATTTAAAGCTAAAGAACAGTGAACATGATCAGATTTCAGAGTTCTGTATTCCCTTTGCCTCTTATTTATTGTTTCTTATTGAATATCACTATGAGGAAACATGAAGCATGGAATTGAAGCAAAAAGTAAGCTTGGGTGACAGTCACAGCAGGGAAAAGCACCTTAGCCATCTTGGCTGACCCCCACCCCAAAGCTAAATGGGTTCCACTTGGTTAGTACTTGGATAGCAAACCACCAGGAAATCCAGAACTCTAGTCTAGCCCAAGAAATGCTAACACTACCCCAGAAGAAGACAATGGCAATTCACTTCCAAATTTTTGCTGAGCAAACCATGTAAGTCAAGAATCCACAAGTGTGTATTGCTTTAGGAGTCAAAGTTGGCTCAATAAAGTCTTTACTTTAGGTAAAATTGACATGTTAAGTCAAAGGACAGCGGGATTTCCTGCTTTCCAGGACACTTTGTACCAGAAGGGTAAAAACAACAACAACGAAGGGTTAAAAAATGGCTAAGGACCAGGTACAGGTAGGGTAGAATTGCCTGAGAAAATTCTGGTATCTTTAAGTTAGAAATTGAAAATACTGACAGGCAAAGCTCTTTATGCTTTGCACTCTTAAAGGTTTCTTAGGATCTGCTCTGGAAACACTAGCTGTGACATCCAGTTAACAAAGCATTTTAAATTTATCATTCAAGTTCATTGAAGACTTGAGGCAAGTCCTAAGCTGGATCTCCAGTGAGATATTAGAACTGGGATCACCAATGTGTTATCCATAAGCAGCAATCTCTCCCTGAGTATACTCTAGGCTCCGGCTGATTTGTTGTGTGTCTGTGTGATTGGCATGTCACTGTGACTACCATTTTGTGAAAAGGGAGCTCCTTTCTCCCATGCAGCCATAACATGCTCTACAAGTTCCAAAAGTGCCACTGGCCAAAGAGACTGGGTCCCCCTGCATTAGTGATCAGGGGTGGAAGCAGGCTTCAAATGATCTCCCCATCTTCATAGTCGTGTCTCCTTTGCTTTCTGACACTGTCACTGAGAAAAGCAGGAAAAAAGACAGTGGTTAGTGGAGCCAAAGCTCATTTCCCACAGAACTGTAGCATGAGCTGTAAGATTCCCATTTCCTTATAAATGGGACAGGGGAAAATGTTGAAAAGCTACACAGAGAAAGGCAAAATAACACTGGATGAAGGAAGTCCAGCTTGGCATTTCCAAACCTTCAGTGCCTTGGTCAGGGCGGTAGCGAGTCAGTAATGTCCGGCGACTGATATTGTACCCTGTGATGTCTTGCATACTGGGAACCTCTGCAAGAATACAAATAAACATATTGTATTATTCTGTGTAAAAAAATAATCTCTGCTCCCACAAAAATCAGTTAAGGAAAGCCTTAGGGCAGTGTTTTTCAACCTTGGCCATGGCTGGCTGGGGAATTCTGGGACTTGAAGTCCACGCATCTTCTGGCTGGGGAACTCTGGGAGTTGAAGTCCACACATCTTCAAGTGGCCAAGGTTGAAAAACACTGCCTTAAGGACATACTTTGTTGTGTAGTGGAAAAATGGTACTTCAAAAATATGGAAATAAAGCTCCATTATGAAACACAAGAGAAAAAGTTCTATAGACTTTAATATTCAGAGTATACTATAAAATAGCAATATTTCTTAAGAAAGAGGCAAAAATTCAAGAAAAAAAGAATTAATTGAAACTTAATAGAAAAGTGCAGGAAATTCTCATTTGGCCCTCCAGTACTCCATTAATATCCCCTCCAAAACTCCCAAAGTGTGTGGGGCCAAAAGTTTGGGATCCTTTTTTCCCTTTTTTTTTTTTTTTTTTTTGAGATTTGGGATAAATTTAAGGGATGAAATGGGTTCCTTAATTTTTCTAGACTTTCCTGGTCTTACTTGATTTCAGTGGCCTTTGATACTATTAGTTGTGGTAACTTTCTGGACCATTTCCAAGGGCTGAGAGTAGGAGGCATTGTTCGCGTGGTTCAGAAGACAGTATTGGTGGGATAAGGAATTGAGCTCAAGACTGCTGCTTTGCATAGTTCCCCATGGTTTGACACTCTTCTTTAGTATCTACATGAGGTAGCTAAGTGAGGTTATCCAATGGCATGGGGTCAGATATCATCAATATGTGGATGTTACTTAGTTGAATATCTCTACCCCTGGCCACTCAGGTGATATTGCTGAGGTTCTTCCCTGGTTATTAGGATCTGGATGAGGAGGAACAGGTTTAGGCTCAACCCTAGCAAGATCCAGGAGCTATAGATTCAAGGACCCTTCCTTTTCAGGGATTTTCCATCTCTAATTCTTAATGAGAGAGCCAGTTTGATGTAGTGGTTAACGCACCAAGCTATAAACTGGGAGTATACCCTCTTTGCATTCTATGGTTTTACGTTATCAGGACATAATAAAAATCATCTGGTCCTTAGCAGTTCTCAAAAGTA